ACGGATATGTTGTGAAAGTAACTTGTGTACACATGACCTAGGTCGATTTTCCAGATGAAGATGTTTCTTGGTTATCTATTGTGTACTGTTGCCTGGGTCACGTGGATGATTTTTGTCAAAAACTTTGTGTTTGTGGATTCTAACCTGTTACTAGATGCCACACTGTGCTTACTATGATTGGAGTACAACTTGTATATTTTTTCTAGATGGTTTGGTATCCAAAGTTGATTTATGTTCGTTTGTTTTGTAATGCCATTAAGTACAAAGGGCTATCCCAGTCTCGGAAATTTAAGTCCTCAATTTGAACACAACTTTATGATTTTGAGTATATGTATAGTTTGCATCGGAAAAGTCTGTTACATATCCTTTACCAAAGTGGCCAATTTTCGGTGGCATCAAACTAACTACAAAATGATAAACAGTGCTAACATTTAGTTTTGATACCTGCCATTTCACCATGACTATATATCGGCTGTTTTAACATAACTTACTCAACCCTCTGTATTATTAATATTCTAATCACCATGAAGTTACCTTCTGTCTAGGTTATTTGAAGTTCAACTTTAAACTTTATTAGAGCTAAGAGCTGTACTCTCAAAAAGCATCCTTAGTTGTTTTTTTAACACTTAAATTAGTAAGTAATGTGCGAAGAACATTAACAGAGCAGGGGCTCATTGGAAAAAAAATGACACTTTTCAAGCATCGTAAGGCAAATGTGTCTTTTTTAAAGGGATGGGATTTTAGAGGGACTATCAGTACTGGTAAAAACCATAGAAGCAAACAGATCCTCTTTTATTCCTATTCAGTTGTTGTTAGAAACATTGATTACGACTTAAAACTAAATGGTGAATTATTACATATTAACAATTAATAACTTATCAAAATTATTTTTTATCATAAAGGCCTGTGTACCATTTTAACGCTGTATTTATTTTTTCATAATAACTCGTAGCAAGCAAAGTGTAGATTGAGGTGAACTTTTCATAATTGTTGACAGTTTCTGTGACTGGGAAAAAGGGCACTTTTGGGACATAAGGGCAGGAAGCCAGGAACTTGAGCTCCCTACTGGTATTAGATATGATATCGTTACTAAAACCTTGTTTAAGACTTCAGTGATGATAATTTCCTCGAAACTCCTCCAGCTCTATTTGGTTGTTGTTGTTTTTTTACTTAAGAACTGTCAGGTTTTTAATAGGGGCTGGATTCTTTACAGTAGATGTCTGTGACTTTCTGGCGATAAATTTCAACAATAAATTTCTTCAGCACGCTCTTTAGGACCCCACAGACTCTCTCACAAAGTCCAGTCCATCTGGGTTTGTATGGGGTGGTAAAGAGTTGCTCAATTCTGATGAATCTGCACAACTCTTGCATCAGTTCTGAGGTAAACTTGGTCCCTCTATCACTCAAGACTTCTTTTGGAAAGCCTGGTCTGCAGAAGGGCTTCTGCTATTTTCTCTGTCCCTACCTTTGGCAGTGTTATTGCTTCTGGGTAACATGTCACATATTCAACTACCATAAGCACGTAACAGTTTCCCTCTTTCAGATACAGGCAGTAGTGGTTTGATCAAGTCCACAGCTACTATGCTAAATTACTCTTCTATGAGATGCATCACACCCAGTGGCACATTGGTTACCTTCCCTCTAGATATTGTCCTTTGGTAGATGTTGCATGACCTGCAGAATATTGTCACATCTCCTATGACACCTGGTCAATGGATGTTGCTGGTGATTCTGTCTGCTGTTTTCTTTGCTCCTAGATGTCCTCCCACATTCGACTCATGAGTCAACTTTATAAGTTGGGTCGGGTACTTTGTTGGTACTATGATCTGTTCATTTTCCCCAGTATAACTGCCTTGATAGATCTGGTACAGCTCTCCCTTTTGGTCCTCTATTCTGATAGCCTTTTCCCCTTTGTATTGTGCTCGACTTTCTCCCAAGTGCTGTTAAAAAGTTTCTGCAGTGAAGAATCTTTCTTCTGTGCTTCCTTCAGTTCCCATAAACCTACATTTCGGGATGATACCTTTTGAGATTTGCAGGGGCTTGATGTTTTGCTTGATTTTCTCTTCTTGAGCTCTTGTGGTGACTACAGATACTTCACCAGTCATCTTTCTGTCTAGTTCCTCCAAACTTCTACTGCTTCATATATTTCCAATCACCAAGTCATATATGGGTGCCTTCATACACATGGCTTCCAGGTCTCACATATAGTTGAAGTGCCCACCTTTATTCTTGCTGTAGGAAACTTTCTCCCTGTCCCTTCAATCAGCGCACATAGATGTACCTTTTCTGTCATCTGACTATCAGATACAAGACTGGTTCTCATCATTGGACTACTGCACTCAGTGTCTCGCAGGACCTTCAGGTTCTTGTCCCCTACATAGCCTTCACCTACTGGCATGTTGTGATTTGTTGTCATATCTCGATGTTTATCACATGCTACAATCACTACTGGCACTGTTGACCCATTTGCTAACTTGAACTGACTACCAGTCATGCACTGATCGATCATGGAAATAGCATTTTCTTCTTGTGGTGAATCTGGTGAGTTGTCTCCATTCTATTTCTTCTGGCAGCAGCAATCATGGTGACAGTCACTCTTTTCTTGTTCCTTGCCAGCACCATCTTTGTAGGTAGCTCCAACTGCTTTACTTTGAGATTTCTGCTGTTGCTTGTTGGTGATGGACTTGCACTCCTTTGCAATGTGCCCTATTTTGTAACAAATATAGCCTCTTTTTACCCATATATTAAGTTCTTGTCACCTTTGGTTGTATCTTGTTTCTGGTCAGCCACCCCTGATTTCAACTTGCCAGTTATACTCCCTCAATGGGCTTCCATATACTGTTCTGCCAGCTTGATCACCTCGTCCACGTTTTTCGGTACTCTCTCTTTTAAGAACAGTGAAATATCAGTTGAGCATATAATCCTGAACTGTTCACGTGTTAGTAGATCTGCCAGTCCCTCAAATTTATTTTCACACTTGGCCATGTCAGCCCATCTTGTGAAGTATTACCATAGACTGCCACAAACTGAAATACAGTTTATCCTGTGTCAGGTTTGACTTCTCTGAACTTCCAACGAAAACCTTCTTTGGTAACTTCATAGTGTTTCAGCAAGGCCACTTTTAACCTGTCATAGTCCATGGTATCTTCTTATACTGTTCCAGCATACACTTGTAGGCTTTTTCATGTGAGCAGTGGGCTGGGATAGACTGTCCAGTCTCCTTTGTTCCAGTTCTGACTTTGGTCAAATCTTTTATATCTCTCCAGGAAAGCATCAATCTTGTCTTTCTTTTTATCATATTTGAGAGCATGAATTGGCTGGCCCTGACTCCACTGTCATTCTTGAGTCCTTCCTCTTTCTGTGAGATGAGCTTGGTGATCTCAATATGTGCTCTTATTCTCTATATTTCAGTCTCCCTTTCTCTTTTTTCAATCTTTCTTTTCCCCTTTCTTCTT